GTAAATTGCAAACAGCCCCCCTCTACTTGTTTCCTGCCTCTCTTTTGCGAAGCTGATACATCCGACCCCAGTGCGGGTCGGGCTGAGACGTATCAGACATTTGGCCCAATCGGTGTATAACTAAGTCTCTTAACCTAATCTTTTGGGTTCAAGATTCAATACCTAATAGCATGCAAATACTTTTTTGTTTAACCTTTACATGTGGAAAAAAACAATTATAAAACTGGGTAACCAACATAACATTGTTGAGTATACAATGAGAATCCTGAACTCTAAGAAATGAAAATTTACACGTCGGCAAAACATTTAAATTATGTATAGCAATATGCAAGTGATTATGCAATAAAACTAACGTCATCAAATTAGTTGTCAAAATCTGTTTTACTTAAACTTTTTTGTGATTAAAGTGTCCAACTATTGATTTTATGTGAGAAATTATGTATTTGTTAAACTGAAAAAGTTAGACTACAAATACAAAGTTGCTTGAATGGTAACTCTAGTCCGTAGCTAGTTAATTTTAAAATGTTAAAACAACATACAATATTCAATGCACTAGATACAAGTAACCCCTAGAAAATTACCTTGGGGAAATGGAAAATTCAACCAAAAAGTTGAATAAATATCGTAGATAATGTATAATTTTCTAATGCATCAATCAAGCAGTTATCCCAAACTTTAAATATTTATTTTAAAAAATATGGGCATTCTTTAGTATGTCATCAAAAAATTATTGTTGGCAATAGGTTTTGGAAGTGGGTCACTTACTTTACGAACAATCACTTCCCACAAAGCTAAAATGTGTGTTGTGTCAATTTGTTCACGAGAATAACCATATACAAATTTTCTGTGGGATATATATAGCTATGTCAATGCCTAAAAGATGTATAATTGCAAGCAAATAACTTCTTCATGGAAACATTATCTAGAAGCGACCTTGCTAAGGAAGCTCAGATGTGTACATGACTAGCAGAGAGAGAGAGAGTATTGAATGCATATATGACCTATATATCCATTTTCAAATAAACAAAAAAGAGCTTCATTACGATGTTTGAATTTAAACCACGCAATCTTTAAATGCAAATTTGACCCGGCAACTATCTATATATATCATAGTTGTAAATTTCAGATCTTGCATCCATAATTGAATTGAAGTTATCTCTTGTTTTTCCATGATGAAGAAACTGCTGGATAATTGACCTTCCGAAAACACATAATGATTTTACAGTTTTCACAAAGAAAACAGTGGCAGTAACTTTGGAGGAGGAGAAAAGACGATGATAAGCAAGATGGTCAATATCAATGTTTACCTATATAATAGAGCATGTAAAATGTACAAAATTGCGTGTTTGTTTTATTATGTTGGGAGAATTGAAGTAGAGCATTGTGTTGTGATATAAACTATAATGGGCAAAGAGGAAGTAATGAAATCACAAATCCAAACAAGTAGATAGTAGATTTACATAATGAGAATCCAATTGAGAGAAACAATTTACAGTAACAAAATCAATGAATCGAGTGTGAAAGTGACTTTTTGATTATAATACCGTGAAGTACGATGAAAGGAAGAGAGAATGATGAAATTGGGAAGCATATGAAGAGGAAGAAGATGGAGGTCAGTGATGGTGATGACGATAAATACAGGAAATTAGGCATAGATGAATTTTGGTGAGCAGAAAGAAATTAGGGCTTCTTCTTCTTCTTCTTCAATCCAAAACCCCCACTTCTCTCTCTCTGATAAGAATTTTGTATTTATATTATTTTTTTCTAATCTTTGACCTTGTTTATAATATTTAATTTTTTTTAAGAGTGTTTTGAGATTGCTTATAAAAATAATTTATTGACTTATTCCGGTGTGACACCGGTAATAAACATTTTTAAGTGTTTGGATAAACAACTTATACCGGTGTCAAACCGGTAATAAGAAGTTTTCAAAGAAGTTAAACCATTTTGACTTATAATAAGTTGATAAATGCTTCTATATTGAGGGGTAAATAGACATTTTTATCAATTAGACCGTTTATTCAACACAACAACCAAACAACTTATCTTATATCGTATAGACAACTTTATCAATACAAACAGTTTTATCAATGCAAGTCTTAATAGAAAATGAACCAAACAACCCACAAGTGTAATATCCATGTTTGGTTCACTCATCATTATTAAACCACCAGATTTCGATCCTGCCATTGAAACGACTTTTCTTCCCTTGGATACACAAAAAACAGATCAATAGTATTCCTTGTTTGGTGATCCAAGGAAGGCTGACTTAGTACGAGTGTACGCGTCGCACGAGCTCGTAAAGACAAGTCCATGACGTAAGGGTAACTAACAACATCAAAGAGTAACAAATATGTTAGCACAGTTCCCGGTCTTAAGTTCAATTTATCACTCTTACATGCCAAAAAACGATGATAATGAACTAGTTATGTATCCGTGCAATGCAGCGAGAGCCATGAATTTTAACGATTTTGAAGTTTCATTGGTTTTATTAGAGAAGATTTAACGATGATATAAATTACAATTGGTTTTTACATATTAATAGAACTTGAATAAATAAGAGTTATGGTTCCAATTACAGTTTATCGATGAAAAAAATTGTATTACAGTTTAAAATCCAATATATTTAAAATCCAACATATTTAAACGACTTCACAAATGTGTTCGATTTACACCAAGAGCAAATAATCAAGAGATCGAGACCGAGAGTTCTAGAGCAATTGAATGGAAGATGAATGAGAGAACTTTTAATAACTCATAGTGAATATCAGTTTGAATCTCACCTTGAAAAATGGGGAAAAGATATAAAGGTATGAGAGGGTGAAGGCATGAATGAAATGTGTCAAAAATATATTGAGAACAAGAAAAAATAATAATAATGTACATTGGTAACTTGTACTATATGTTATTTTAATTGTAGATTAAGAGATTTTAAGACTGAATGCATAAAGTAGTAATACTTAATGCATTATGAGTTGATTTTAAGACTTTTAAGATTTTGTGCATAAATGTATAGTACTTTGTGCATTAAAAATTGTTTTTAAGACTTCTAAAAAATCTGATTATAAGGTAATATAGATAAATATCTAGCTAACCATAACAACAATGATCCATTTTGAGGATATGTTTCATAGCATTCAATCCATGGGCACTAGAAGCTATGACTATAACTTTTAACATACAACTGAAAACGCAATTAATTATGTATACATTTATGGTTGTATATACAGTCTCTCTACTTTACATCTTGTATGCATTCAAGTACACACACGGGCATCGGCATCGGCATCGGCATCTTTACGTGCAACGAAGTTGGTAACTTGTTCAGGTATAGGAACCGAAGCAAGAATCATCGGGACAATCAAGACTTGTTGGATCATCAACGACATTATAATACAAGGACGATAGTCTGTTGTCGAATTTTGAAACAACTTTATGAACGGATAATCCACAGTAGCGCTTCCCGATCCTTGCGATGCACATGTCTATGATTTTCTTGAACATCTTATCGCCTTTGATCAATGGTTGTTCTACAAACTCCATTAATGGCATCCACTACATGATCACAGTTGCAAGCTAATTAAGACAACAACATGAATGATAACAGTTGACAACATATTTTACCTTGGATGCTTGAACTTCAAGATCATCGATATTGATCTGACTTGAAATTGGTCTAAGCATACAGATGAAGAACAAATCTGATTTCTCAAAAGCCACATTGTGTGCATGCCTGTTGCATATGTACATCAAACAGACAATGCAACTCAGTCACTGTAAAAAGCTTGTTTTTGTATCAGAAGTATACATATACGTATACCTACCGGAAAGCTATAACTTCCAAAAATTCAGTATCTATCTGAAAGAATAATACGACGCAGAAAAGGGTTATTTTTGATCAAACAACTGATAACGATTACATGTTAACAGGTACATTTTTTATCGATTCTTACCCCAGTTTCCTCTTTTACTTCTCTTACAGCTCCGGTGAAAATCTCCTCTGACTGGTTAAGTAAAAAGAGATGAGTCTATAGATACTGAGAATTCATTTGTGTGTGTTTTGCTTTGTCATCTGAAAAGGCATTGCATACCTCAAGAATGAACCCAGTTGGTAGCTTCCAAAGGCCAACAAGCTCAGGTGCACAATGTTTCTCTTGAACCACAAGAACCTGCACCCAACATGGTTTTCTTAAACTTGTAGAAATTCAGTTTCCAATTTAAGCATCATCATACGCATACCTCATTTTTATCGTTCAGCACAAAACCCCCGACTCCTACTTGATGGGAAGCGTTGGCAGGTAGCATACACGGTCCGTTAGGAATCCAATACGTCATCATAACGTATCCTGTTTCTGCATGATGGTACTGAAACCCTTCCTGTACAAACATCACAACACTGTATATGAACTCAAAACCTTTTCATCGTTTCACTTTAATCTCAAAAAGATTCTTCATGTTTTCACTAGTTTTAGCGGATTTCCTTTACACAAGTAATTCGTGGTGTCCGAATTAAGCCATTACGCCTGGTTATTATAGAAACTTCCAATCTAAGGACATCAAGAACCAATAACATAGCCCAAATGAAACATATGTTGGCTTACCCTTACTGCTATAGGAACAAGATCACATTTTTCTAGTGGCAACTTTAGCCAAATTCCCTTCTTGCCCTGCAATTTGATTTACGTGGCCTCATTACGAATGTATTTTGGGAATAGATTTTATTAGCAAGAGGCTGTTTCAAACTGAATTTAGTAGCAAGTGATACGAATTTTACCTTTGTCCTCCAAACTGAAAGAGATGAGCTAAGGATAGAGGCAAAGACATTGGTGTCAAAGGGTAGTTTATCTGGATTAACAATAACTCCGCCATACTCATCATCGAATGCATCAAGAACTCGTTTTTCTGTACAGAAAATACTCGGACTTGTGCCATTTGAACCATCATATCTATATGAACAAGTTTCCACTTCATATTTTTCTTGCCCAACCAAAGTAACAGCACCCTGTGAAGTGCTTAAACAAGCACAGGTACCTTGGAAACAGAGGAGAATAATTCAACAACAGATCAACAACCAAATTCCTACAAGTATATCAGACAGATTTGTGCTTTTCAATCAATACCCAATTCAATTTTCAATCACATTAGTAGATGGTGATGAACACCAAAAAGACAATCTATAAATGATCAAATTGACCTAAGAATATGGTGGATTAAGCACCAAGATACCATCCATTTTCCATTCATGTCATTTCCCTCCATTCGAACAGTGTTCTTAACAGAATGCTAAATGATGATCCATCTTTTACAGATGGAGGAAATGCAAGTGCAGAAATAACCATCTTGTGTGACACTTAAATACTCAAACCAAACACCATTGCAGCAAGATAATACCTTTGTAAGAAGAGATAGAAGCAGCCATGAAGTTGGAGGTGGAGAAAGGGTTTAACATCATCCCTTTTGGACCAATCAAACTTGATTTTGCATCAAAGAGTTTCAAATCCATTATTAACCACTCTTCAGATATCAACTATTTACACCACAAATCTCAAGTCCACAAAGCCTACTTATGATAATATATATATATATATATATATATATATATATATATATATATAACAACTAAAATATGAATATAAGCTGAACATGAAGAATCTTGATTATAACAAGGGGACTTCTTGGTACATATCAATAGCGGAGAAACCTAAACATGGATTGCTGATTCTGGAATGAACCCAACAAGAAACTCGTAAAGCATATAAAAATCACAGCTTTTTAGGTCAAGAAGGAAGTTTATATAAATGGGGGTTTGGCTGAAAATGACAACTGACAAGCTTAACAGGGAGAAATTGCAACAGGTGATTGAGGATGGAGATTGAAGTGAATGATAAAAAAAATCTAGAAATCGTGTAAACGTGCGGAGGGAAATGCAAATGGCTGTGTGGCTGAACAGAGTGAAATAAAGCACGGTGTCTTTTTATGAAATCCTGTTCGCACACAAAACACGTGTGACCCATGGTTTAGACTCGGTGGATGTTTGTTTACTTCTTATAGTTCTATTAATTATTTAATTAAGCTTATTGGTTTATCTGATTTATTCGTATAGCTTATTTGGATTGTTTACTTACAATTTATTTGCACAAAACATGGCATAATAGCACAGATAAAAATAATGTGTTATCTTCATTCAGTCACAAAAAATTTGACAACCCTTAACCCTTATTTAAAGCACCGCCTCCTTCCCATATGAGACACTCCATCTTCGGCGTCTTAATGAATTTTTGTTTTGATGTTCAAATAATTAATATGGGAGGCAAATCGGTCATTTATGTTATTCAGACTGTTGGTTCAGATAAAAAAAGTAAACAACAACACCCATTTATCCGGACGGACAAATTTATTCATACATGACTTAATAAAAAATTTGATAAACAGTCCCTAAGAGATAGACTTTGAATCGTTAAGAGTTGTATCTTGTTTGGCAAAAAGAATTTGTTTTCTAATGGTTCTAAAACCCTCTGAATGATTTTGTATCATGGATCTTCCTTAATCATTCAGCGCCCTAATTTCATTATAAACAACTACCAAAAAATTATATTTTATTTTGCATTATATCATGAGAGCTTCTTAATTATTCTTACCACTTAATCATTCTGCATCAAACCATTCAGCAACTATTAAACAACATATTGTCTATAAAAGTTCATTTGGTGAAAAAAATTAAATTAAATTAAATTATTCAAATACATTAATTAATTAATATGTCGTAACGAAATATTTCTAAGAACAATATATTGTCTATAAAAGTCAAGCATCCATATGTATAAATGACTTATACAGTTATCTTGATGATTAATACGGTGTATATAAATCATAAAGTAAAATGTATCTACTACAAATTCAAATGTTACTTAATTAAAGACAAAATTTGATATTTTGCAATTAGTAATTTAACAGTTTAGGTGACGTTTTTTAATAGCTGATGAATTTTAGAGTCTTATTTCACTTCTGATTTATAAGAGGTAGTATTGAAGTTTGAAATCTGAATCAATAAGAATGTTTGTTTTTGTAAATTGATACACGTCTGAATTTGTTTAAATTGTCTATTTTACCCAAAAAAAAATTATATTGTTGAATTTATACATAAAATTTATACAATTTCACATATTTATTTATTATCATTACGAAATTTGCATCTAAATTATATAATCAGCATTTATTTAAACAAAAACATGTCATCAACGTATGTAACACATTTAAATTTTATTAAAATATATCAATCGAGATAAATGAGGATTGATTGAGAGAAATGATCGATTGATATTAATCGATAGAGAAACGTCATTGTGAGGGTATGAAGAACAATAAAAGGCAAATAAAATATTGATTTACCTCCTACCAGATAAGAGAACAATAAGATATAGGTGCCTCTAAAAAATTAAAAAAAAAACAATCTGAATGACCTTACTTCTTAACGAATCAGACATAAAAGACTAATAAGAATTTTTTTTTTATAAAAAACAAACAAGGCTTTAGTCATCCAAACTAATTTTGTGTTTAAAAATGGATTAAGCCAGTTGATAGTTTACTCATTTATTCAATTATTACAACAACCGTTTGTTTTTCGTATGAATAAATCTTACAAAAGGCTTGTTTACTTACGATTTAATTAGGCTTATTGGTCTATCTGGCTTATTCGCACAGCTCCTTTGGGTTGTTTACTTACGACTTATTCGCACAGATAAAAATGATGTGTTGTCCCCATTCAGCCACAAAAATGACACTTCCACCCCTTATTTAAAGCACCGCCTCCTTCCCATATGAGACACCCCATCGTCGGCATCTTTATGATTTTTTATTTTGATGTTCAAATAATTAATATTGGAGGGTAAATCGGTCATTTATGTTATTCAGACTGTTGGTTCAGATAAAAAAAAGTAAACAACAACACTCATTTATTCAGACAGACAAATTTATCCATACAAGACTTAATAAAAAATTTGATAAACAACCCAAAGTTATATTCATTTGATCTTAATCATTAAGAATTATTATTTGTTAAGCACGTGGCAATTGTTAATAATATCCATATCGATATTGTTGTTTTGTTTATTGGACCACCGCGTCTTAATGAATTTGTCCCAATAATCGTATCAATTATTGAATTTGTTATATCATATCATATAAACAAAATATTCATGTATTATTTAGTATATTTTAATAATCCGTTATCGACCATTTATTTCGTCTTTTTTCAGTAAAAGAAATCGAGAGGCGTTTAGTTTAAATTAACGTTATACCCATTCATTTAATCACGTCTGTTATATTCATCAATCTGATAGTTAATTCAGAGTTTATGTGTTCCAATTTTTTAGAATTTTCCTACATATATTCTTATCGTAATGCTATATGTAACTTTCGTTCATCAAAAATATCTTTAAAGTCCACGTGAAGCCAAATATGGTAATTTCGTTTGTTTCTTCTTAGGATGTAAACAAACTCGATAATAAATATCTGTGTTTTGTTAAAAGAGTAAATTATATTTTGTTTTATTTTATTTTTTAGAATATAATTTTAAAAGTTTCAGTTGAAGACAGAGACGGAATGTAAATGGACTGGATCAACAATAGTGGAGGGACCCAAAAGATTTTTATACTTAAAACTTTAATGGACTTGAGATTTTTCACTCTATCATGAGAAAAAAAATCCAGGGGCCAAGGCCCCTGTGGCCATTCGCCCCTGGTTGGAGATTATTTTTATGCAGATAAAAGAATTGTATTATAGTTTTGTGAATAAACAAAATATATTATAAATTTAGGAACAAAATATTTTTCTTGAAAATGATTTGTAGATTTTTTTTGGTTTTAAATGTATTGAATTATATGAATTACATATCCAAAATGTTTCTTGATAATAGATCGGAACATAGATATTATAATGTCGTTAATACTCGAGAAAAAAATTCAGAAAAATGGTGTTAGGTACGAGAGATTTGAACGAAATAGAGTTTGGGAACAATAAAATTGATCTAAGGGATTGTTTGTTTACCTCTCTCTGAATGATTTTGTATCCAAGACCTCCCTTAACCATTCAGCGCTATAATTTCATTGTAAACAATTACTAAATAATTATATTTCATTTTGCATTATATCATGAGAGTCTCTTAATCATTCTGAACATTTAATCATTTTACACCAAACCATTCAGCAACTGTCAAACAGTCTCTTAATTTTTTTTCTCTAAACTAAGGAGGTGTTTGGGATTGTTTATTTTAGGTGTTTTTTGACTTATTTCCGTCTGACACCGGTAATAAGTTAAGTGATAGTGTTTGGATGAGGAAAAATAAAACTGCTTATACCGGTGCCAAACCGGTAATAAGCAGTTTTTGATAAATTAATCATTTCTAACTTATGAACAACTGTTTATTACCAGTTTACCATTTTAATAATGTTTTATTAATGTTTATTAATTATTAATCTTATTAATGTAAATTTTTGTCAAAGAAATTATTATAAATGATGAAAAATAATTTTTTACATGTTGAAAAATAATTTTTTACATGTTAAAAAATCAAATAAGTCAAAAATATGGAAGACTATCCTTTTTGATTATTTTACATATATAAACAAAATTTGTCAAACATTAAAAAACAACTTATCAGCTTATTGATTTTTGGTACCGCTATAAGCTAATCCAAACACTTTTTACAAAACTCCGGTTTAATACCACATAAGTTAATAAGTATTTTTATACAAAAAACACAAATTGTTTTAAATAAGCAATCCCAAACCCCCCTTAAAAACCTTTCTAGCCAATTAAGTTACTTTTTTGGGTTAAAAAATTATAATGAAGAATTTTTTAAGTTGAGAATTTCTTTATTCAAAAAAATGGACAGAAATTTAATCATTTTAATAATTAATTTATCTAAAAAAAGCTTACAAACTTAATTATTTAAAATATAAAAATTCGTTAGATTTTTTTAAACTTTTCGAAAAAAAAAACGCTCAACAATATAATCATAATTAATTTATTTGTATTTAATTTAATAAATAATTAATTATGTATCTTTAGGAATCGAATTTTGTGGACATGGATATGCCTTATCCATATTGACATCTACTATACATAAATTTTGACTTGAACTACTTCTAAAATATATTTTAATAAAATAAATTAAAAAAAATTATACTGCAACAAATAGATATTATTGAAGTATTTTTAAAATATATTTTAATAAAATAAATCAAAAAAAAAATATACTGCGACAAATAGATATCATTGAAGTACTTCTAAAATATATTTTAATAAAATAAATCAAAAGAAAGTATACTGCAGCAAATAGATATCATTGAAGTAATTCTAAAATATATTTTAATAAAATAAATTAAAAGAAATTATACTGCGGCAAATAGATATCATATGGTATTTAGATTACAGAATATCCGAGATACTTTGTAATATTCAAGGGTCAGTGTTGTCGTAATTTTCGTTTCATCAATTACTTAAAAAAATGACAAGTGTTGGATTTGACATATTGTGGTGTTATTTCATGTTATCAATCAAAGAGATCTTATATGATGCATCAAAACGAT